ATTACATATAGTTACGATACATTCTATAATATAACCGAATTAAATGCTCCGTTATTGTTTTAATTGATAAATCATAAAACTATTAACTATTTCATAATATACATGCCTTTATATATTTTTAAAATATAGCATTCTCATTTTCATTTTTAACATGTTTCAGTGGGTGAAAAAGAATATAAACAAATATCACGCTTTAAGTTCAATATATATATGGTGAGGTATCATTAAATTAAGAGTATAAAATTCATTATACTTTTTCTGAAATGCTTCATAATAGAAGATAAAATTTCAAATAGAATGTTCTTGCTAGTAGAAAGTAATTCCTATGGGTATTGAGTGAGCGCAATTCATTATTAAACTGAAAATAGGATCTAAAAATCATTTGATATTTTTATTATATAACCAATTCTTCTTTCCTTAACAGCTTTTTTGGTATTTAGCAATTGATGATTATAACTTAACCCCAGTTATATGATGCATAAAAATAGGAAAGAATTTAACTCATAGAAAGTCGAAAAAACGTCTATCTAAAGATTTATCATATAATATATATCTTTATTTCATGTAAAAGAATATATTAAAAAACCAACAATGTATTTTTGAATCAAACAATGAATTTACCCTTTTTGAATTTGTTAAACATGTAACTTCGTTAAAAAACATGTTTATGATCGCAAAAATTTTAATTCTCATCATTATAATGCACATTTTCTTAAAATTATGGCGAATTTAATGTTTTTGTATTAATAAACACCATTTTTTTTATATATTTTGAAAATAAAAAATCACGTAAAAAGTTTATAAAAACTAGAAATTTAATAAAAAAAGAACAATAGATTGCTTATAATGAAATTCAAGTAAAAATATGTTAAAATTTTTTATTTAGAAAATTATATCGATTATTTTTCACAGTTTTTTACAAATAAAAATATGTAAAATTTATACATATTAAAATTAAAAAAATAGCTTTTACTTATTTTCATCTTTTCTTGGGTAGATAAGCTGTTTTTTCTTCTAATATCATAAATCAATTGAAAATATCGTTTTAACCCTAAGAAAGTAAACCTTTTTTTATTTCAATGAAAAAAATGAGTGGATCTGTTAAAAAATTTTCACAAAAAATTTTTATGAATAATAAAATGTTAATTTTAATAGAAAAAAACTCATCATTGCGATTAGATCAATAAGACAACAATTTTTCAAAAATCATATAATTTCCCACAATTAAAACCCAAATATATTTTGACGATAAAATGTCGATGATAATTGCCTCTTTTTTCTTTCTAAAAAAACTTTATATAATTGCCCATGCCTTGGAATATTTTTTTAATGATCAACGAAGACGAATAAAAAAATAATAAACCATTCTTTAACCTACCTTTGCATTTTTTCACATATAATAAGTTACTCTATAATCTTATAAATACAAATGAAAAACGAATAGCAATGATATCAATTTATATTTTGAAAGATACTTTTAAGTAAGGACATCACTAGTATGATATGTAAAAAATTATATAAATTATTTCTGTAACCAATGCTGTTTTATATCAAAAATCTCAACAAGAATTATCTTCAAAACGAATATTGTATAAATATCTAATTTTTATTACCAATTAAAACACATAAACTACTCCTCTAAAATTATAATCACAATTATGTGCTATAAAATATGCTCTTTACAATATTAGAATTTGAGATCAGCACGAATTCTCTAAAAAAATATTTTATATAATTTTTTGATGCATTTTTGTTAGTGTATGAAAAGACAGTAATTAATACGAATAAATTTTTCCATAACTTATATTTCAAAAAAATTTTTTCTTATCGTGTGTATGTATTCATTTAAGATATAAATAAATAAAAATAAATTTCTATAACTACATTTATGGTATAAGAAGTTATATATATAATATAGATATTGTTAAAATTCATAATAAAAATGATACCTTTAAATATCCGATTTTCAATATATTTTTTTGATCAATTACAATTTTAGAAATTTTATAGCACTATTTTGTATTTTATATATATGCTTATATAAAACTCATATCTTTTCTGTTTTTAATTTTAATATAGTTATATAATAAAAAGATTAAATTTGTATTTTTTTATATTTTGTTTGTTATTATAAACAGTAAATACAGCACAATTTTTTATTTGTAACGAATAGAAACAGTATTTTTATATATAAAAATGGACAATTTGTATTGTACAAATTTACAAACTTTGTATTTGAATGTTGAAATAAATTATAATTTAGGTTTCAACAACTAAAAGCAAAATTATGTAAAAATAAGTGAATTTGTGTATTTGATACATTTCATCTATATCTAAATAATATTTTCTGTATATAACAACTGATAATAAATTTAGTATACAAAAAACTTTAAAAAATTTTTATATTAAAAAAAGAAATAATTTCCTTTTTTATTTTTTTTCAATCTTTTACGTTTATTATACATTATATATATTAATTATGTTATTTATGTTGTTTAATATTAATTTATTTGTAATAAAAGAAGATATTCAATAAAAAAGGTTTTGTTGTGCGTTACTTTAACATTTTATAGAATTTTTGTTTTTTTCAAAATCAATAGATAAAAAATAGTTTCATCTGTGAATCACTCTATGATCCTATTCTGATTAAGAAAGCTATGGGCGAGAGAGGTTGAAAAATATATTGTGTACGAGCCTCAGAGCACTTTTCTGAGTAAAAAGATTGTTTTTCATTTGATTTATTAAACTTGTTATTATTTTTTTATCCGTCTGTGTATCTTTGTTTCTACATATTTATAATATTTAAGGATTTACTCTGCAAGCATCGATTATATACCTGGATTTTACTTTATCCTGAAGTGAACTCAAATGATTCGTTATATCGATTGTTTATAGAACATCATATTTTTTATATATGCTATTCGATCTGAAACAATATTTTTTTGCATATAGCACATGCAACAGCTTTGATAACATTGTTTATATAATATAAAAACGGTTTATAGATAATTTTTGTTTACAAAGCTATTTGATAGAGAAAAATTGATATTTGTGGTTCGTTTCTCACATTTTTTGTGAACACATATTTATTCGTTTTATAACTGTTTTTCTAACCATTTTCTTGTTAATTCCCTAATCACATAACAGAAAATATGAATTTCCAAACTTTTTAAAACCTTTCGTCATTACTTAAATGTTAATTACATGTTGAAAGCCTTTTTGATCCTCTTTTAATAAATATAAAACCATATAAAATTACTTTTAAATTTTTTTTACAATAATATTAGATCTTTTTGTTATCTTTGAAATAAACAAAAAATAACTTTGCAAATTATTATATAAAAAATAAATCGATAAAAAAATATGGCCTCGTTTTCCAAAGATTACGTTCTTAAGAAAATTGTAAAAATATAATCTTAATGAATAACAAATGAGTTTTCATATTTCCTTGTTTTTCTTATTAAGGAAATAGTATATCTACGATTTAAGAAAAAAAATGGATAAAAAAAGAGTGTATAGACACCTAAAAAAACCCAAATAGTTTTATATGACTTTATATATTTGCATCAGCTGTTTTTCGCACATTTATAGTAATAATAATATTTTTAATAATTTGAATAATAGTGTGTCTGCTTTGTGGACCAAGGCAGTGGTTTTAAAAGCCGTGAGCGTTGCCAGATTGGGTTCAAAACCTCTTACACTTATCTTTTAGGTTTTAAAAATTATTTTTATATATTTTTTTAATGATATCGTGCTATTTCTTAAAGTAGTGAATAAACAAGTATAAACATATGTAATAAACTATCAAAATGTCGAGATTCTGTATTTTTTTGGTCGTTTTGTTATATATGGTTTATATAATAGAATTTGATCTTTATAAATGGTTTTTAGATTATTAAAAAGATATTTTATTTTAAAAAATGAATGATAACATAATTAAAACGCCTAATATGTAATTTTCAGCAAAAAATAGTTTATAATTGAGAAGTTATTTGAAAAATGTAAAATCGATTTAATATAATAAAAATAAAACGAAATTTAAAAATTTAGCAAAGGATTATTATATTCAAACATCGCTTTAACATTTATGAATCGATCTAAATGCAATTAGAAAGTAAGAATTTTTTATGATCTTTTTTTTAAGTTCGGATGGGTAAAAATATTATTTTTAGTATTTTGTATATGGGTTTTTTTAGCATCATAATATGACTTACATATTAAAAAAAATTTTGTTGAGTGATATATTATCAATATTAAAAATGCTAAGAACTTTATTCTATGTTAAGTTTTAAAAAAAATTATTAATTTTTTGATTTTGAAGGAAACGAGATTTTTTAATCTTTCATTATTCGGCAATAATGCATGTTTGAAAAAGATAGCTTTAGAAAAATAGAGAAAGTTTTTTTAAAATTATGTAAAAGGAATCGAAATTGTTAATAAGTGTATATTTATAAAAAAAGAATAAAAAACATTTATTTTTTTTATTACTAATACCTTAATTTAGCACATGTGTTTAAAGATGTAATACTTATAGTTCTATATATTGTAAACATACGCGATGGTTATAAGCAATTTGCTAATATAAAAACTTAAATTATCTTATAAACACGAATATCGTCTAATATCAATTCTTTATCGAACAATTCTTGAATATAAAATGTTTTACGCTAATTTGGTTCTTTTTTATGTAATATTAAAAGGTGATATTCTTTAATATATCTGATTATTAGTGCAGGTTTTATTTGATATTTTTATTAAAAGCGAATGGGTGTATTTTAACACCTAGTGTTACAAATTTTACTATATAATTTTAAAGAATAAAAGATATTTAAATTTTCTTTGTTAAATTACATAATGTATTTCTTGAATATATTTAACTGTTTTATAACTTTAATTATCTTTAATATTTTTCTATATTTTTTTTATTCCATCACAAATTTTTACAGTCTAAAATCTGTAATTTTTGATATTGTTATATATTAATTGTGTAAATATTCTAAGGTATCATGGCCGAGTGGTCTAAGGCGCTGGACTTAAGATCCAGTATTCGAAAGAATGCGTGGGTTCAAACCCCACTGATACCATATTTTTGTTATTAGAACAGTACAAAAAGAAGGGTAAATAATATTGTATTGAAGAAATATTTTTTTGAAAATTTACAGTTTAATTACTGTATATTTGATATTTTTTAAAAAGTCATTTTTGTTTTTAAATTGTGACATTATTTTGTGTAATAATGAAAAGGTGTTTTTTTAGACGAATATACGAAATCTTTGTTATTAAAACTAAGATAGGTTTTTTGAAATTTTTTTAAAGGTCAGAAAAAATTTCGATTGCAATACTAACTAAATTAGTTACAATTTGCCGATTTTTAAAATTTTCATTGCATTCTGTAAATACATTAAAATATATAAAAAGATAGAATTAAGTAAAAAACACTTAAAACAAAATCATATTTTATTGAGAGAATAATTTTCCTTGAGAATAAACCCGCAGTCAGTACCTAGATTAACAGCATTTCCAACAATGATATTAGCGCTCGGTGTCTGCAATGTATCCTTTTCGTTAAACAACACGCCTTCTTTAATAAACTTAAATGCACTTTCAAAACTCATTTTCTGGAGTATACTTTGCGAATGTGCAAGGCCATACCTATTAAACGGCTTATAAATTCCTTCTTTAGTCATGAAATCTGCAATCAACAAAAGATGCCTGATATTAACTGTTATACCATACGCGTTAAATACTGTTTTAATTTCGTTTACTATTACTGAACGGCATGCTTCTATGCCAAGCGATAAGTTTACGTTGTGAATGTCATTTGAATATGTGTTCATCAACTCTGAATTTGATAATATACCGACGAGGTTTTCTATCTGAGATCCTTCTATTATTAGGTCATTTTCTTGTGTATGGGCGCCTTTAATGTTTTCTACCTCTTTTATTACTATGTTAGGTAGGATTGATTCTAGTATTGGAAGCAAAAGAACTTTATCATTTTTTGTGTCGAGATTGATGCGAATTATTTTTTTCAATTTTTTTTCTTTGTTTTCTTTTGAAAGGTCGAGTGTATATAAATTAGTATTGTTTTCTGTGTGTATTATTGTATTTGTTGAATTATCATTGTCGTCATATTTACTTGTATTACTTGTTATATTAGAATTACTAGAATCATTGGACTCTTCGTCGTCTTTTGAAATACTACTTGATTTTCTAGATTTTTTCTTTTTATTAGTGCTGTATTCTTCAGAATCGCTTCCATCCTCAGAAGAATCGATCTCTTCACTTTCGTCATTTTCACTAATATCATTATTGTTTTTTCTGTTTTTCTTATTTATATCATCTTTATCGCTGCTATCATCTACACTATCATCATTTTCACTGTGTTCTTCGTGCGTTTTTACGCTATTTTCTGTATTATCGGGCTGATTTATTATTTCAATTCCTATGCTTACCTTAGAAGATCTTAATTTTCTGTCTATAAGCCTGCATATAAGTTTTTTTACAGTAACAACATCAGTCTTTTTATCAAGATATATTACTATACTAAATAAAGATCCAGTTTCTTCAATATATATTTTTCTAGTAATATCTTTCAAAGTGATGCGTTTCAACATATCAACCAACTGTTCACCTCTTTTCTTTATCAAATTGTTATCAATATCATCATCATGTTGCTTTTTGTTTTTTAAAGGTTTTGAGAGGTCAACTTTGATATATGGTGTTTTAATTTTTTTAGATGCTATAGTAAGAATTTCAGCAAGCCTAGGAATTCCCAAAGTAACGTTTTTTGATCCGACACCAGCTAAATGGAAAGTGTTGAGTGTCATCTGTGTTGAAGGCTCGCCAACACCTTGCGCAGCGATGATTCCAACAGCTTCACCAGGTTGTACCATGTTTTTACATAGCTCTTTATTTTCAAGTAATGTATTGATATACTTTCCAAATTTATCTTCAAATTGTGTGTTTTGTTTTGCTTGCTGTGAGCTTGAAGGACTTTTATATGTGTTTTCTACCACAGCTTCTATTGATTCTTCATAGCTCGACTCACTCGTCGTGTTATTATCTTCATCATCAGAATTATTAGTTTCAGATATGGTGTTTGTATCATTATCACAAGCATTAATAGTATGAGATTTGATATTATCATTTTCAGTACTATTGCTAATACTGCTAGTATTTTTGCTGTTTTCTTCCTCACTTACATTACTACTATCATCACTACTACTTCTAGTATTTTTTAATGTTTTATTTTTTTTATCTAACGTAGTATATTCTATTTGATTGCTCATACCTTCAATAATATTCTTAATTTTAGTATTATCTTCATCTTTAGAAGTATCAAAAGCATCTTCACCGTACAAAAACTGTACGATATCACCCTGATTGGTAACAGAATAGTCATACTCGACTTTCAACCCTTCTAAGGCTTTAATCAAACTACGCTGCAAATACCCGCTTCTCGCAGTCTTCACAGCAGTATCAATCAACCCTTCTCTACCAGCCATACAGTGAAAAAAATACTCAGCAACGCTAATTCCGTCTAAAAACCTACCGAAGATGTATCCATTAATCTGTGGTGCAATCTTTGTACTCTCAAAACACGGAAGTGTTGTGCCTGAACTGAGGTATGGCACTCTTTTTCCTTCAAGCTCTTGTTGGCCTAAGAGTCCTGATATTTGACCTAAATTAACAGTGCTTCCCTTTGCACCACTTTTTATCATAAGAGAGTAATTATTGAATGGGAATGGAACATACTGGTTTTCACTGATTGTTCTGTCGTATATTGACGATGTTGTCTTGTTCATTGTTTGTTTTACTAAACTGTCGTAATATTCTAATGATTTGCCGTCTACAAAGAAGTACGGATCGCTTAGTGAATATGAATGATCTATTACTGATGTTTCCTTGTCGTTTACACTACCACCTTTATTATTATTACATTTTTTAATAAAACCACTCTGTAGAAGAGTATTTTTAACAGCTTTGGTCCCTTCTTTACACAAGAATCCACGCTGTTGATTACCACTTTCGACTAATAGTAGATCGCTGATTCTTGCACCGTATCCTTGTCTTGCCATAATCTTATTAATAACCAGGCCGAAAGATGTAAGCAACTCGTTACATATACTAAATCCATATTTTTTTCCACATACATGGACAAGGCTGTTTTTTGTGGGTCCTATTTGGCTTTTGTCAATTGTTCCACTTAATAATCTGCCATCTCGTATTATTACAGGATCAGTGTCTGTCTTCGATTTACTCGTGTGATCTATACTAATGTTCAGTGATTTTAGTATGCTGGTGACTATCTGTTTTCCAGTATATAAAATAACAGGTCTTAGTATAGTAGGCTTATCTACAAAATATTTCACAGTATCACCATCACTAGAAATACTTGTATCGCTATCATCACTATATATATTTTTTTTATTAAAATTGGTACTATATATAGTATCTTCGTTATTACTATCATCGTTATCAAATACATTATTACTATTTTTTATATTTTTTATATTGTGTCCTTCGTAAAGAAGGAAGTTATTTGTGTCTCTCTTAGCAAGAACACACGCACTGACATAGGAGATATATTCTTCCCTCTGCATAAACTCCTCTTTCAAACAGATTCTTGCACACACTACAACATGATCCTGCACGAGTCCTCTAACAGGATTGCCATTCGTATTACTCACATAATTATGATCATTGCTCATTACCATATACGCTTCAGCTCTCGCTAAATGATTCTGCAAGCAGTGAATATTCATTTCGTCACCATCGAAATCAGCGTTGTATGAGTTACAATTCGCATAGTGCATTCTAATAGTCTTCTCGCCACGCAGCACTTTAACCACATGCGCCATAATACTGGGTTTATGGAGTGTCGGCTGCCTATTCAGCAAAACAATATCTTTATCTTCAATATGCCTATGCACAACACACATTTTACTACTAAGAAGTTTGCTACTTAGCTCAGTTCTCTTCTGTTCATTAAGAAGATATAAGTTGTAAGTAACTGGGACCTTATACATATCATCGTGGATTTCCAACACCTTGGCGCCTGGATATTGTGGCCCATTAATCACCATCTGCTGCAGTTTCTTATAATTGCTAACAGTTACTATTTCAGGAAACGTCAGGTTTTCTGCAAAAACGTACGGTACCCCGATTTCACGTGTGTGAATGTTTGGATCCGGCGAAATCACTGATCTCGCAGCGTGGTTTACCCTTTTCCCCATCATATTGCGTCTAAACAAACCGTCTTTTTTTTCGAATTTTTGCTTGACACCCTTGTAGCCTATTTCCGCACCACCGCTACCATCAAACAATGTGAAGATATGGTGTTGAAGTGTGCAGTAATTCTGGCATGCCTCGTGTGTGTTAAGTGTTTTGTCGATAATTGCTGCTTCTGAGTGGTCAGTAGACTTCTCGGTGTAGTGTGACGAATCGTTTGTTTTGTTGGTTTTTGTTGTTTCTGAAGAATCTGACGAGTCCGATGTTTTTTCATCAAAGTCCAAGTTTATAGATATATTTCTATTAACACGTGTTACTTCGTTAATATTATTATTACTATTATTATTACTACTATTACTACTATTATTATTACTACTACTATTACTATTACTATTAATAACATTATTGATACGAATAATTCTCGAATAGAGAGAATTAACTTGGCAATCATATGGCTTACCATCAAAAAACGCAATAGGCCTAAACTTATTAGGCGGTACAAATAACTTATCTAAAAAAAACATATCAACAAAAAACCCTCTAAACATCGCATTTAACAACTCACTATCATTTTTAAAAATTAATATTAACTGCTCACGTAGCTCAGATGGCATTTGTACAATACCTTCTTTAAGAACTACCTTGTTTTTTCCTTTTTTATATAATGTGCTTGTTATGTTACAATGTGGGCAGTATCTTTTCTTAGACAATACCTTTAAATATTGCAATACATGGTCATGGTGTTGTTTGTACAGTGGTCTTTGTGGCTCCAAACTGTCAATATAACTACTTATTCGTGTCATTGTTTCTAACATCTCGGAACTCAGTTTTTTATTTTCTTCTACACTGT